TCTCTCTCTAACATTTATATATATATATATATATATATATATATATATATATATATATTAATGTACTTAAATCGTTTTAATATTTTCATCATTCCTAATTCTTCATATTTGCGTCGAAATATATTGTTTAATAGTTCAAAATTTGTTGAACGCACGTATCTTGCCTTTTCGAAAATCATTATTTGATCCTTGCTCGATCGGAACGTGTTGTACACGGTATCATGCAAAATCGTGAGTTGAATCGATCGTAGATATTGAAGCGGATAGAAAGGGATAAAGAGTTAGAGGATTAGAGGATTGGAGGTTTAGAGGGGTGGGATGGGATGGGTGTTAGTGAGAAGTGAAAAAGAACCGTGATCAAGTTGTATTCGCGTAATCGGTGCATTTACAAAATTTACATGCGTGTAAATCAGCACCCGGCAATACGCCAACGGAATCATTATACCTACGTGCCATTAAAATTAATGAACACGTTTCGTCTCGAGTTTTTCGATCATTAATGAGATCTAGCATCGGCTGACATGGTATCGATGATCACAATAAATACAGAGAAAAGCGATTAATTCACGATGAGTTAGCCCTCTGCTCTTTGTCTATTTCTCTCCCTCTATCTATCTATCTATCTATCTATCTATCTATCTATCTCTATCGCGCATATATTCCTGTATATCTTTCTCTCTCTTTCTCTCTCTCTTTCTCTGTCTCGCTTTGAAACGTTACCGAACAATCGTCATTTGGTCGTTCGTTCATTGGCTCATATACCTCAATCGTTCAGATTCGTATGATTTATCAGGGATACACGGGAAAGGTTCGATACATCGATTAGTATTAAATCTCCCTGGGCATTCCCGAGTATCCTTCGGATATTATTTTTGATCATCGTAACCATCCCTCCTTTTTACTTCCCCCAATCCACCCGTCCGCCCTTCTTACTCTCTTTAACTCCACCATTCGCTATACTCGAGGATGAAACGTTTCGTTTGAAAGCGAGAACTCACTCCGGTAATTATCTACAAATTAAAATCCCTCTTTGCACTCCAAAGTACTCTCCTCTGCGGCCACTTTCATCGGCAACAGCAGCAGATAGTGGTGTTGGCAGCGGCGGCGTGGGCGGCGATGGGTGGTGATGGTGGTGGTGATGGTAGTAGTAGCAGTAGTAATGGTGGTGATGGTTGCTGGTGGTCTCGCAGATACTAGTTGGAGAGAAAGAGATAACAAACGGCATTTATTCGTTAAAACGTTATTAGCGAGAATTAACGTTGGTTAAGCGGGCCGGTACGAAAATCATCTCTAAACAACACACTTTATTCGATTAGCAAAATCCAGAAACGAGTAAAGAGCGTTCACCGACACTATAAGCGAATACACACTAATTAACCCGACATACATATGTACATAGTTATCGCTTTTATAATCGTTAATACATTCGTTTCCTCGAGAATGGTTATTATCGTTATGTTCGTTGGCAGTATGCGAACGGTAGATAAGAATTCAGAAATAATGATTAATATACGATAAGTGCTTTTAACCCATTATCCTAATTAAATTCCAATTATTTTCTTTTCTTACGTTTGTTATTTTCATTCTCCCATTATCGTTAAATATTATCAATCGATCATCCTCTTTTCTCTTCTTTCTTTTTTTTTTCTTTTTTATATTTTAAATTTGATTCATATTCTTCAAACATTTCCATATTCGTGACTAAATCGAACAGAAATTATGTCCCACTGTCTCTCTCTCTCTCTCTCTCTCTCTCTCTCTCTCTCTCTCTCTCTCTTTCTCTTTCTATCTCTCCTATCTCTCTATCTCTGTCTCTCCTATCTAACGTTTTAGCGTTTATATGTATGTACGGCTCGCCATAAGCTCGTACGCTTCGCTCATGAGACGAAGGGAAGCACTGTCCGAAGCACCCGTACGCGTTTCCACGGGCCATTGTCCGCAGGATCGCTCCTGTCTCTCGAGACATTAAGCACCGTCCCCGTACAATGATCCCGTGTCCACATCTCCCTTACTGAACGTACCGCGTATACGCATACGTCGTCTCGCGAATGCGTTCGTTGTATCATTAACTGTATATGGCAACAAGGCTATACCGCTTCTGATGTATCCGGATCGTCAAACAGTAGTACGTGGTCCGGACTATTGTCGTACTCCTTAGAATCGTTGCTCGAAGGATTATCACGTTAATCCGAACGTCTATCAGGCACTACTCTCGTAATTAATTCAACCGACAACAAATGTATTTTACTGTATTTCGTCAAATGAAATTACAAATTAACAATGAAAATTATCTGAAAGAGAGATAGGACCAATCCGATGATCGTTAAATCATCGTTTTCGTTTCGTTTTCTTTTCTTTTCTTTTCTTTTCTTTTTTTTTTCTTTCTTCCTTTTCTTTTGGTTTTCTCGTTTTCTATTTTTTTTTTTATTCTTGTTTTCTCTCTCTTCTTTTTTTTCTTTCTTTTCACATTTTTTAATTCTTCCTCTTTTTTTTTCTTTTTTCTTTTTTTCTTTTCTTTTTTTTACGTCCGATAGAAGCTTGAAAAATGTTGAAAGGGCATCGTTCAACATGTATTTTCGGAATACACCGTGCCGTTTAAAAGCTTCGAGGAAGCTGTGAGCCTGAACGTCTGCTGCATTTTCTCCCTTTCTCTGTCCCTTTCTCTTAACCCTCCCCCCCACCCCTCTCTTTCTCTCTCTTTCTCTCTCTTTCTCTCTCTTTCTCTCTCTCTCGCTTGCTCGCGGGCTCTTTCTTGATGCCAGGCTGGTATCCCAGGAGCGTGAGAGGAGACCGAGCTAATATCCACGAAGGAGCCTTTATTTTTCTTTATTAGCCCGTCGCGGTAACAATGGCCGGGCCGAGCATCCGGTGTCAATGGTCTGGCTTTTCGCAAGCACGAAGAAAGGAGAGAAATAGAGAAAATGGGGGAAATAGGAAGGAGTAAGAGTAGAAAGAGGAGGAGGAGAAGGAGGAGGAGGAGTTAGAAGAGGGAAAGGAGGAGTTAGAGGAAGTAGAAGAAGGGTTGCAAACCGGTCGAGCGTATACCCTTTTCTCTTCTCTTCTTTTCTCTCCTTCTTCTTCTACTTCTTCTTCTTCTTCTTCTTCTTCTCTGAAAACTGTTCTCTTCTCTCTTTCTCTCTCTTTTCCTCTCGTGAGTCGCATCTGCAACGTTTCAACCATTCTCACCCTTCCCTCTTTACTCTTCGTGAATGAGGAGAAAGAGAAGAGCACAGAGGTAGAAGAAAATTGTGGGAAAGGGTTTAATGTTGGGTGGGAGGAAAGAAGAACTGCTCTCGTACAGAAAGACCATAGACGAATGTTACGTGAGAAAGAGAAAGAGAAAGAAGAATAAGTAGTAGAAGAAGAAGAAGAAGAAGAGGAAGAAGAAAAAAAAGAGAGAAGATAAAGAGGAAAAGATAGAAGGATATAAAAAAAAAAAAAGAAAAAAAAAGAAAGGAAGGAAGGAAGGAAAGAGAAATGAAGAAGTTGGAAAAGGATCTGTGTTCTAGAATAAAAAAAAAAGAAGAATAAGAATAAGAAGAAGAAGAAACGCATTGCCTTCGGCATCTAGTCGTCCTTCTCTTTCACCAAGAGATGTTTCATCGGTTCTTTCACGATCCTTCTGCTTTCTCTCTCTCTCTCTCTCTCTCTCTCTCTATCTTTTTTTCTTTATCTATCTATTTATCTATCTCTATCTCTATTTCTATCTCTATCCCTCTTTCTCTTTCACCCTCTTTCAACTCTCGACGTCATGGTAGTTTCTCCTAAATAGCCCATGTGACGCTACCAGCCATCGTATTACATTCCACGCACGCTGACACGAAACCGAGAACTACACAACCATCTCTCTCTCTCTCTCTCTCTCTCTCTCTCTCTCTCTCTCTCTATCTCTATCTCTTTTTCTTTCTCTTTCTCTTTCTCTTACACATACACTCTTCTGTTCTATTCTCTTACTACCGTACTTTCACACGCGGACGCACAAAAACGGTTATATTCGCTGAGAACCACAGAGAACCCGATTCCAATGGTTTCTAACGCTAGAGATGGCCGCGTCGATGCGTGTTATCCTCCTCCGCTTGCTCCTTTTGGATTTACGTTCCTCCACCACATTGCTCTATACCATCCTTCTCCATTAGCTATCTCACTCACTCATTCTCTCTCTCTCTCTCTCTCTCTCTCTCTCTCTCTTCACTTCTTGTTCTCTCTAGCTTTGCTCATTTTTTTCATTTTCTTCCTTCCTTTTTATTGTCCTCTCACACGGCGTTCTCCCTTCATCCATTAAGTTTTATGTTTACGAGCCAAACGTTCGCTGATTATGATCCTTTTGTTAAGTGTGAACCTCGGATCGATGGTACGATGTTGAACGAGTTCATTAAAGGAGATGAGAGAAATTGTTCCTTCTTTTTTTTTTATTTCTTTATTTTTTCTTTTTATTCTCTCTCTCTCTTTCTCTTTTACTCTCTCTCCTCTCTCTCTCTCTCTCTCTCTCTCTCTCTCTCTCTCTTCAAAAAGATGCGAATCGTTAACGTTGTTAAAGTATTATTATTTTCATTGTCAGAAAGATCGATTACGTTGTAGTATGATCATGTCAAATTAATATTGAAATCGAATATTCTTTACGATATTAGGATCCTATACTGAAAACTTGTACTAATGTAGTTTGACGGTGAATTCCGATTGGCTCGTAAAAAAGAAACGATCAATCTCGATGAACGATAGATATATCGTGAGAACGATCCATCAATATACATCATCAATCGACTTCCGATGACTAATCCGAAAATAAGAAGATCGAAGAAATATTTTCCCCGTAGCGGCATGAATATCTTATGTATGATAAATAATAAATAATATCTAGATCTAAGTTAAAATCTTACGCACGACATTCGAATGTTGATTTTCGACTCTCACTCTCTCTCTCTCTCTCTCTCTCTCTCTCACTTTTTCTCGTCTATCGAATAATTTTGTAGTCGGGATGAATATTATTCTTTCTTTTTCAGAACGAAGATGAAGCGGCCATTGGTGCTGACTTGCTTTCTGCTGCTCCACTCCAGTATCCTGGGTGCACCACGAACAG